CAGCCCGGAAGACGTCCACTGCTGGACATAGGTTTCCACGACGATCGGTCCTGCGCTTATCCAATATCTTGACCAGATCGTCGGTCCAAAGGCCTAAGCGTCTTCCGGTCCGTGGTCGCCACTCGAGGATTTATCTTTATCATTAAAATTTCATCAATATTGCTTTTTTATTTTTTTTACTATGCATCAATAGTGGAATCCGTTTTCTAAGGCACGTTATATAGCGTTTTTTTTGACTGAATATTAAAAATACTTTCAAAATCTCATTAGTGTCAGTCTCATTCATGTCGCTTTTCAAGTACACTAATGATATTAATTTGAACATCTAAAGACTATATATTTTTGATTAAAATTAATGTGAATTATTAAAATGTAAAAGCAACCCATACACATAATATAATAATAAAAAAGACAACACTAAATATTTTCTTTCTTACTTTCTAATTTTGATGTTTACATATTTACTGCAATCGACTTCTTGCTATGACGATTTCATTTCTACTAATATCACGCGGATGGACAGCTAACAGTCCTGTATACTCATATAGCTGTAATTTTTTACTTTGGCTTTAATCGATAGCAGTTGTGAAAACTATATATTAATATAAATGCAATAATTCACACTGAATGGAATATATATATATTTTAACATTATTACCCGTTGAACTACTTTATTCACTCTGAGTATTTTTTGAGCCTAGCTCAGGAATAAAGTTATTTTACATTTTATTAATGACTGCAAAATGAACGACCAATTAAATGGACTGGCTGAGTTTTAAACGAATGCGATAACTTTAAAACCATTTGTTTCACCAGAACCAGTCTGAAATAAAACGAATTTTAGTGGAAAATTTGTTTTACATTGGAATCCGTTATTTGTTCATTATTATTAACTTTAGAGTTCTAAAATAACTTATTTCATTATTAAAAATAATACTTATGATAATAGTGTGGTAAAAATAAATAATGGAATAAGTAAACACCTTATTTTATTATTTATTTTTTCCATCTTGTACACAATGTGTAATTAATTTTTTAAAAGAAATGCGACTGTGGTGACAGGAGCGGTTGTGAGAGTAAACACACACAGTAGGGTGTAACTTGTATATTAACTGTTACATCTTGAATACTCTAGCTTAAACTAATTACATAAACTATATATATGAGGTACTGCGTGACCTACGTGTCATTATACAAAACGTACACTCGCACAATCTTTTACTGAACGTGCTGATTTGCATCACTATACCACACCTCCCCTGAAAAGTAGGGTGTCTATGGTGAGGGTGTCCCCTCCCTCTGAAAGTTTAACATTACAAAGACAATTTTATTATTTAAACATTTACATACAAAAAGACAAAAAAAAAAACAGCACTACAGGATTAATTTAACAATTTCTCAAGGTATATCATACCTGAGTACAAAAAATACAAAATTTTATAATTACATTGTATTGTTAATACATATTTGTCATCATCTAACAGATCTTGTTTTCTACTAAACAAGTAGTAACCAAAAATTAAAATTAGGCCTTTACTCTATAACAATATTAAGAAATTTTATGCTTTACATTATTGGCCAATGTGACAATGCTCACTTCATTATCTGTACTTATTGGCTTACTATACTTATCTATACATTTTACAGTATACCTACATAATTGTAAAAACTCATCATATTTCTGTATATACCGACAAAACTTATTAACTTAAGACTTATTGTACATATTTTTAATAATTATAACTTCCATAATATTATGATCCTTGCATATCTCTACAAGTTCTCTTAATGATTAATTTACGCCCACCTTTGTTAATAGAGACGTTTGATTTAAATATATTATAGATCCGGATAGAACTACATTGCACGCATTATCATGCATATTATGCATACCTAACACTTTTCCTAATGTCTCCTTATTACAAATATTTAATTTCACACGAAACTGTGATTTTCTAGCAATTCCTACCATCTTTGATGGACTAGATTTTATTTTCACTTGAGAACATTTATGAATTTTTTTAATTGGACCTTGCTTAATAACGCTTGAACAGCATGAGTTTAATTCTTTTAACTCATCGGACGTTGCAATTATTTTCGATAATTCGTCCGTTGTTCTATTTTTCGCACAATTTCCATTTTCCACAATATAATCAGTTTTCCTTTTATTAGGAAAATTAACATATTTTATACCATTTTCTCTTTTTTGAAAAGGTATACGGACCCTATCGAGTGATCCGTGGGGCTTTACACTTAAACAGCCCAATTCAAAATTTATAATACCTTTAAATTGTATTAAAAAATCTTCTCCTAATATACCATGGGAACTGCACTGTAATTCTTTAAATACATAAAACTTTTGTCTAAATAAGTTTCTGAAATTCAAGATTCAGGTAAACAAATCCCATTGCCTCTAGATTACCACAAACACCTTTTATTAAGCGTTATCTTTATGGATCTTAATTGAAGGCAAATTTTTTAACCACACATACTTTAAAACTGACCTTGATGCTCCTGAGTCTGCTATCAAAAATATATCCTTATTAAAACAATTAAATTTACCTACATTATTTGTGTTAAAAGCTAAAATTTCGGCATTCTTATTTCCATGAACAAAATCTAACGATGTCTTTCTATCGCTATTCCTACTATCAGCTGACGCTTTGACGTAATTCATATGCTTACTATAACAAACTGCGCGACCTTCTTTACTATGCATTTTTGTATTTTGCTGACTACGCGCCTTAGTATTATTACGCTTCACTTGACATTGATTTGTTCTACGATCAAATTCTCGTGCGTCATAATTTATTTTATTTATTAAACACGTTTGGAAGTTCTTAGGAATGAATTCCTCCTCTTCTATTGCTGATCTGACAGCTTCTTGTAAATTTGATATATTTCTACATATTATATACATTGTCAACCTACTATCGTTTAGCCCGTATGCAAATTGCCTAATTGCAATATTCTCATTTATGGGCAATAAATAATTGTTAATTCAACAAACAACCTTTCAATTTCATCCCCAAACTCTAAAATTGTTCTATTACCCTGCCTACATTTTTGTAGTTGCGTTAAAATGAATGTATACGATTTAATTGGTAATAGAATTTTTCTTATATCCTCCGTTAAATTATTAATATTATCGTAGTTTGATTTTAATTTTAATTGGCACAACTAGAAAGTCTCGTCTTTAATATAAAATTTATTAGTAAGGGATGGTCATCAGGCCTGAGGATGGTTTTGTAAAATTCAATGCCGTCTAAAAGGCTTTTTATAATTTCCTCATCCCGATTCACTATAGGTAATAGCAATAAAGCTGCTTTTAAATCAAATGCGGCCATTTTTAAAATATACAGACTAATATAAAATTCTTTCAAAAAGTGTGTAAGTGGCCTGTCACAGTTTGCCTACTTCCTGTTCAAAATAAGTGACTTAAATTTAAATACACAATCAAATATTATATACCACTTAATATGTCCCGAAATTATATTTTCACTGCACCAAACACGTATAAAAATGTCTTCAGAAATGACACTAATCACGGCACAATAATCACTACAACATTTGTAGACCGCTAGCACCCTTTTATTCAATCTTTATAATTCCATCTATGGATGCTTCAATCAATTTTTTAGGCACAGGTATGCGGTGAACCTCAATTTGAGGATATTGGAACCGATGGCCTAGGAACTTTAATTTCCACCGTACAATATATTGAAGATAAATAATTTATACCTCTTTGCTGCCCGAAGATCTTCAGAGTATAGTCTGATCTTGATCCATTTATGCAGCTTCTTTGTCACGGTCGCCATGTGGTGACAGGAGCGGTAGAGTAAACACACACAGTAGGGTGTAACTTGTTTATTAACTGTTACATCTTGAATACTCTAGCTTAAACTAATTACATAAACTATATATATGAGGTACTGCGTGACCTACGTGTCATTATACAAAACGTACACTCGCACAATCTTTTACTGAACGTGCTGATTTGCATCACTATACCACACGACAAATTAATTGTTGTGGCCGTATAAAAGTTTTCTTCCAGAAATTCTACGGGAAGATGTATGTAATAAGAATCCTGAGAAAAGAAATAGTATAAAAACATGGATGGGACATGGGTGGCTAATATACGCACAAAAGAATTTAATAATTCCATTTGAAAACCACGTTAATTTTTAGTTGGTTAAAAATGTTTAGTGCCCGTCATCTAGGTACATTTTAATAAATATTAAGAGACGAACTTTATCTTAATTACGTCATAACTGTCCAACTATGTTGTAATAAAAAGGACATTTTAACCCTAAATACTTATTATTTATAACCTTAACATCAACTAAAAGGTAGGACAGGTACATTATATAACCCAATTAAGAACACTATGATGTTTTGGGTTGACCAATTTAGGAAACAGTATCTCTAAATTGTCTCGAATATGTACAATATATATTTAGTTTAGGTTAGAGTAACGACTAGGTTCTTTGATTTATGTTCATTTGTTTATTTACATTAAGGTAATAATTATCATTAGAACGTATAGTACTTTAATATCTATCCTCCTATATTTCTAAATTTCGATTATATATGTAAATATATAAACGAAATTAAAAAAATGCTGCTTCTAGACCAAAGTCAATTCTTTTGTAAATATCCATTTATAGACACCGAGAAAGACTTAATACAAAGGTTTTAGTTGATAAGCAGCTTGCGTTGTAAGCAGTAGTTCAGATGAAGGTTTAGATTAGGTAGTGAAATTGAATGCGGAGTGGTTTAGCGCATTAGGGTTACCACAGCATCTTTATCAGCATCATCAGCATCACCTAATAACGTGTATCCGTAGCGCTGTCTTTGGCGTACGAGTATATAGGCGATTGTTACTACTTATCATCAAGTTGTTTGTCATTTCATTTATTTTAAAAAATACAGCATTATATTTTTATATTAGCTGTCAAATATATTTTAATAGTATGTCTTTAAATATATGTACTCACTGAATGAATTTGATCGCAGTTGAGGAGGTACAGGGGGGCACAGCACCTCACTGTCCGCGCTGCTGACGCTGGCTACCTCCCGCAGCTCTCCTAACGATGATGACCGGAGAGCAGGTAGTGAGAAGTTAACTTCTTTCGTCCTATTTAAATATAATGTATATTAATTATCGTATTTACAATTATGATAGTAGGATCGCCCACTTCGATGTTGAATTCCAATGAGATACTCCTCAAAATGTTGGCATGTCAAGTATTACTTTTACCATTATTTCAACAATTGTCCTAACTTCAAATTTGTAATCAATTATGAAAAATACATCAACTGATTTAATAATAATAATTTCAAAACAATTCTTTTTGATATCACATCACAACGATTCTTCACTAGATATTTAGCAAAAATTCCAAAATATATAAATATTAATACACACATATACATCCTTTAATATTAATGTCCTTTATAAATATGCGCTACATAATTTTGCTATATTGTCAATAATTTCCGTAAAGAATCCATATATGGATTTTATTTGGTACATTTTTCACATGTTTTTGCCAATATTCTGTCGCCTATATTCATAAAAAATGTAAGATTCTAATGTAACAGAAATTTTTAAATCGGACCAGTAGTATCGGGGCCTATTCAATGAAAACAAGCTAACAAGACTGAGCTGTACAACTAGTATTTATTTGTTATCACCAAAGTTTTACCTACCTATAATAAATTATGCAAGCTAAAACTTTTTCTAATAAAATTGCGAAATATCCGCCAGAATTCCTTTTTTTTGCTATCCATTAATCATAATCACTCACACCTACAGGTTGTAGCGTCAGCCACGAGCGGTGGAACAATTTGTATTCTAAGACATTCATTCGTGACAGGGTAAGACCTAATTAACTGTGTAACGTAATACATTTTATGATACAACAAGCTAGTTAACACTGTCTAGCTACTGCGAAAGTAGTGGACGTGTTAGAGTTAGACCTACTAATGAAGAAAAATCTTTTTATGTTATATTTATTATTTCTTCTTGTATTTTCTGTATTGTAGTCGTAGCTATTGTTAGAAGAAATACTTACTTAATATAAATAAATTATGATAAAAATAAATATGTATTTAGTAAGATTATAATCATGGACAACAATTTAAAATTACAGTAAACTAAAAATTTAAGTAATATTTTGACGAATCAATTAGTTAGTCATATAAGTTACAATAATATAATTTGGTCTATATAGTATAACTTTACAGAGAAGTATATATATATATATATATATACAATTATCATATAGGTATATCATGTAATTTATATTTCTGTTCTATTTATTAGGAATTCTAATGTATTTTATTTGAATTACATGCTTACATTACATTACATTAATATAATGTAAATACTTGTTAAGTGCTCAGATTCAACTCAGAACCCGTCCATAAAAGTTGTTAAATAATTTTCTTTCTTAGGTTTATTTAACAATTAAGTACATTTTATAAAAGAGAATGCATAATATTACATAATATATAATAACCTATTATATTATATTAAAGTTATAAAATAAGTGTGTTTTTCTCCCAAATATGTACATGAATGAATGATATGAAATGAATACATGAATTGGATTATTCTGTTATATTGAATTATTGTATGCAAAATTACCTAGAACCTGTTATCGACATATTTTTTATTCATAAATATATTTCAAGCACTAGGTATTTGTTTTCTAACCGCATAATTCTCTATTTAAAATTAAATATTTAAAAAACCGGTCTTTTTTAGTATATTCTAGATAGATATTGTTCTACCAGGCAGCCTTAGGGATAACGCGAGAGGAATTAATAGACGGTTTATAGAATAAGTATTCGCATTATATTTAATGAGCTTTAATATAAAAGATACAACACTAAAGTGGACAATAGGAAGTATACTTATCTGTATATTTAAAGATACCTATATCATTATGGTTATGAAATGATAACAATAATGAGAATGATTACGCCTATATCGAACAAAGAAGATTGAATTAGTCGGTCTCCTTTGTAGTAAGTCACTCCGATTGCATTTCATAGTTTCTACTCTTAAATTATACAGTAACTATGTATTAATTCCATATTTCGTGCTCAATACAAGCTAACAGCCCTTGTTGCCGATTTATTTGTTTAGACTTGATTATTTCAAAAGTAAAGTTTCTAAATGGATTAGATTGATTGTGCCAAGTTGTGCGTCAACAAAACAATACATTTAATAATCACTTAAGTTTCTATATGCATCTACGCAGTTATATTTAACACAAATGAAGTTGATACCGTAGGAGCTGAAAATAGCAACATTTACAATGGTGTTGATTGTAAATTGTTAATAAGCCTGAACAAGCCCTTTCCCACAGAATGCAGAGCAGAGATATTATGTATATAGGTTTATCATTTTATTATTTGACCAATTCGTGGAAAAACTCCGTGGACAAGACAAACGAGGAAAACAAATAACTCCCAGTTCCTTAAGGTTAATGACCTCATTGAGTTATTAGAGAACGTGAAACGTGACATGACGTCACGTAATTCTCATTCTTTATTATTCTTACGTGCAATGTATGTAATGAAGCTGATTGTAATTTATAGATCCACGTGTTGATTAAATATAAGAAAATTTCTACGTGGACACAAATAGCGTATACTCTATTTGAGAAGGCGAGAGGTAGAGAATGTGTGGATAAACATGGATGGTAAGTATTCATGTACAAATCAAAAACATATATATCTGCTTACCAATAAACTAATACACTGTCTACGACGATATCTATATAGGTACGTATTTACGTATTTCCTTTGCTGGTAAATTATTATCTGTAACTGTATGTAAGTTACAAATACCTAATGTATGAAAGTAAAAAAATGTAATGTCATTTTGTTTATAAGTAAAGAATTCCAAGAAATTCAATATTTTTATATGGATATAATAAATACTAAGAAGTGTACTGTGTATTATAGAGTAAAAAGAAGTCTATTAATGACATTATTTCACATTTACTATTCTATCAAAAATGATTGCCGACCTTAAATAAATATCTGTATAAACAATTGCAGAAATAGAACAATCTGTTAAAATTAACTTTTAAAAGATTTGTTTTTACTTTATTTTACAATATGTATACGTTTACTAGTATTCTCTCACAGCTCATTTATTACTAACTTATTATATTATTATTATTAAGTGAATATTCGTGGATTTTGATTAGCGTGTTTTTACAAATTGACTGTACAAATTTAGAAGGCCTATTTGGCGCCAAAAGTTGACTATAAAATAACTGGATTAGAACTTAAGCATAACTTAACTATAACTTCTAAAACCCATGTCTGAAATACGATGGTATTGTTTAATGTGGTTATACGATGGTCATTAAGTAATCCCCACGTACATGCTATTAAAATTTGTTGGGTAGTACGTGATAACTTCATTGTCGGTTATCGATAAGGTTTAAATTACTAGAAAGAGCTACAAGGTTACTACTACGTAGCGTCACGTAACACCATTTGCTGTCCACCTTCATATCATAGTTACGCCTACAATCCATAAAGTCGATTAATTTCGATAAATAAAGAATTTTACGGTAATCAAAGTTTTTTATGCTACTGTTTATATTTAGGTTCTATGAAGTTGTTGCTTCACCTAATAAGATGAACGGCGACATGAATTTCTCAAAAACGTGACGTCTTATTAACTCTTAGTAGACATTTTTTAGACGTAATAAGCTTTTTTTAATAAAGGAAATAACAACCAAACTGACGGTTCACCTAATAGTAAGTAGTAACCGTCCCCTATATACCAGCAGCAAGCAAGCATAGGACCTATCTGATGGTAAACAGTTACCTGAACCCATGGATTACTAAAATACCAGGGGTATTACGTGCGCCAAACCTTAAGAGAAGGTTATATTACCTTTTTAACATATATTTCGGATAGTTGATCATTTTATGGTTTACCAACTATAATACTTCTACGCCTTTTATACCAGCAAATGAAATGGAACGTTTCCGAGAGGCTTCGGCAATGTAATTGGAGCCTACCCGTCATCATGTCAATATATACGATTGTTATCGCATTCCATCAAGTAATTCTATAGCGTGTTTATTATGGGAATAAAAAAAGGTTTCATTATAACCGTGACATCTTTCACTTAGGTATTATATATAGAATTTTATACAATAAATATATAATAACATATAATAAAAACGTAACTGATCACAGTCTGTACATGAACGATACACGAGAAAAAGTATCAACGCTACTATCTAAAATAATGATTATTAGAACTTTTGTCTGTTTGTCTGTTCGGTTGAGATTCTTAATCTCAAAAACAATTTAAGTACTTTCCATGCCGTTTCCATTAATTTATTGTGCTAATACAATATGTTGTGTTTAAAAAATGAACACCACTATTCCATCTAAATAACATTTAACAAAATAATAAATTCAAAATGAAGCTCTTACAAGTTTATATTCGTCTCTAAATACCCTTAATTATACAATTAAAGGTAATTTAAATTTATATCATTAAGTTAATTAGAGACCATTATCAAATACACGGTTTTTGCAAAACACCCACGTGCTACTTTACGGAACCCCGTTGACCTTTTTACGGAAATCGGAACGCGAATATTAAAATATATTAGCGCCAATGAACATTGGATTATACGCCTGTGTTCAGTTAATTACTGAATAACGAACTGCAACTAATCTTACACACATAAAATGTAAAAGGTGCAGCGCCTACCGAAACGCTCACTACAAATAGCAGTAATTTTACTATGGTGACTTTAATTTTTCTTATGTCAAAGCCAAATGATTTGCTGATAATAATAACAAACATATACATTGAATTTATTCGTTTTCTTCTTAAAAAATCCACAAATAATAAAAAAGTTTTCTTTTAAAGCCAATGAAATTAATTCGATACTCGGCGGAAATCTACATTTTCTCTATATATGTAGATATTATTTTTATAAACGTTAATTAAAATAATTATTCTCTATGAAGACCACAATTTCCTGTTTCTTACTTTAAAAGTTCAAGATAACCGTACAGTTTGTAATCGCAACAATTAAATTTTCTAAACAGTGTGATTAGTAAAACTTTTTTAAATCAGTTTCAATAAATATTTTTTTAACAACTCACTGATAATGGGATAATGATAATGTTATCATTATCATCATATCCTATAACACATTCGACTCAAAATTCTGTACAGAATTTGAAACCAATCTAAAATATTTATATAATTAAAAAAATTAATAATAGAATCATGACATTTTTATAAGACTACTAGTTGTATCCGCGACTTCGTCCGCGTAAAATAATGACCTTCACCAAATAATGACAAAGTATTTAGTAATCTAACCAAATAAAACGTTTTATTGTTCTAGCTTCAAAAATAAAAATTTCTATTTCCATTTTTCCAAGAGAATTCCATACAACAACAATTAACAGCCTAAAAAAAGCATGACAGAGACTATTAATTTTATAAGACTATTAATCGATATAAATTAATTGTTAATAAATATACTTACATATAGCATGGTCCAGCAATATCATGGGGAGGATACACAAGTATGGGTGGGGATGGCGCAGGAGATGGACTGTTCTTACGCCTGCGTGCCACAAATACGCCCGCCATCACGATCAGCAATACTAGAGCAGCGCTCGCACCACCCAATGCAACAAGTGCCACTTCTAAAACAAACATTGAAATTATATATCAATCCTATGAGAGTATTTTTATGTATATTTCTTATTTGGGACAATATTAGTAAAGTATATAAATAATTAAATTAATGAATAATTATAAAGAATATTAGATAATGATCGATCAATAATGAAATATCTACATTCCTAATTCGGCAAATTTATGTAACGTATAGCAAGTATTTCAGTTTCTGTAATTATATCAATATTTTCTGTAATCATTACGGTTTACGCCCGTGTTATTCCTGTACATTTTTTTCACATATTATAATCAATTTATAGTGATAAAAATTATAGCTAGACTATAAACAATATAAAGGTGAGAGTATAACTTTACGATCATTTCGTAAGTTATATTCTCATGTTTATTTGATTTATTTCAAAAATATCTCAAGGTGTATATTATATGTCTGTGTTTATACTGATATGTCTATATCATAAGCGCTAAAAGCTCTACCTACCTAAAAACCTACGTTAAAGCATTGATTACTAGAGAGGTCTGAGTAAGAGCATTGTTTTAACACAGTAAAGTGTAATGGATCGTAAAACAACTACTTATAGTTTATCGATCCCGTTTATACTACACTCCAAGGTATCCAAGCAGTAAACGAAACGGTTATTTAATAATAGGATACTTTATATTTTAAATAATAAAGAAAAGGTCTTCAGAAATTTACCGTGTAAAAAGATATAGAATCGTATATAAATTACCAACTCTACTTTAACAACTTCATTAGTGCACTGTTACTGAATGAAAGAAAAGAGATTCATTGATAAATACGCTACGAAGTAAACAATGATAAAATCCTTCTGTAGTATAAATTACGTGTTTAAACTCTGTCGACTTCGATTTTTTTAATATCAAAGAGCAATGTATGCAAAGATTATGTAACTGTAAAGGTATTTTTTGAGGATTAAAATACTTATATTTTGTTATCCCTGATGTGTTATTAATATTAGACTTCGTAGACTCTTGAGTGTTCTGAGTAATTTTTTGTTTGACATAATACATATCTTTCGAGATTGTGCGCTCGCCATCGACTAACCTCTACGCGCCCACTCTGATTATGGATTTAACTACTAAAATTTTTCTCTACAACCAGGGTGCTTTTTAAGGTCAAGTCAAGTCACCACTATGGTAGAAAAATAAATCACTCTCTTATTCATAATACTGCATGACCTACTTCCATTGTATATATACATAGAGTGTAAGGAAAATCAAAAATGTTTAATTCAATCCGCTTGACACATACAAAGACGACATTATACATAATAATGATAGTCGGGCATATTTCCTATCTATTTCTTCATTTGCATATCAAATAAAATTTAATGAGGGAATTTCAATCGCTTTAGTTTATTAGAAGTAAATCAAATTCATTCTACAATAAACAAATAAAATAGTTACATATAATTGAAGATATCAATTTAATTTAAATCTTAAACAATTTCATTTAAAGCTACAGTTAAAATATATTTATTGTGACCCCTTTCTTCTCAGTAATTGTACTTATATTTTATCTAATATAAGAATTCTTATAAAGTATAATAAAATGTAGTAAGTATTTGTACTGAATAATTTTAGAAATATTAACAGGAAAATCATTATTATTATAGTAGTAAATTGTAAATTGTGGCCCGACCTACAGTATCAGATTATAGAGACCAACCCGTATTAATGTAAATCTATTATTCCTTACCAAGGTGGACGATGTAATTGATGTCTGATGTTATATTCTATTAGGTTAGAAGCTGTCTAAAGTACGGGTAATTGCTTATTTTGCATATTGAATGATAACACAATGTTTTGTTGTAACGTTGAGTGTGTTTATATAATTTTGTTAATTAATAGATAATTCACAAAGTTACAGATCTTTAAAAGAGTATTATAATTATTGAATTTCTGAAAATATTTCAAAGGAAATCGGAAACGACTGCTTTCTAGTAAATGTACTCCATTTCAATGTTCAATAATTAGAATTGTTCCATTTGTCTAAATAGTAGTTCGGAATTAATAAATTCTAGCATTTAAAAGTACTGTTGCCGACGTAGACAGCACAAAGTCGTCTGTCAATCATATGCTTTATAAGATATGTTTCAAGTGTAATCAGTGATCTTATAACCAGAAATCCCAATGTAATACCTAAAAGGAATGTTCTAAATGAATGTGTGTGTGTATTTTTATCTACATAACTATATATAATGAAGGCTTACCTCTTAAATTGATAGCATTTCCGATAGAGGACTCAGAAACGGACCCAACGGTTGGCCCTTGTTCCAACCTGGAATTGGGCGGCGACGATTCCAACTGTTCTACTAGATTTGCGTGCCTTGATGTCACTGGATCCACATAATCTTGATTAGGATCATAATACTGTTCCTCTTGTCCGTTGTAGTCAATATCGTATGCTGAAAAAAATCATCAGTCATTAAATCACGTACATACACAAGCTAATTAGAATATCAATTAAAAGAGTGTCAGAATGTAAATACAAACAAAATTACTGATTGTGTAGGGTAAATATTAGGAGAACGGTATTACGAAGTACAATGACATAAGTGATAGCAAGATGTAAAAAGGAGGTACTTTAAATCTACATACATACATACATATTTACTTTCTAGATACTATGAATGATAGATACCGTGTATGGCGTAACAGTATCTAGAAAGTAAAAAGTAAAATGTGCGAACTTGAAAAGTTTATTATAAAAGTTACTTTTTTAGCGGCCTGTTACTCTAGGTATGCGTCAAACTTGTACTGATATTTTATATTTTTATATCACATTTTTATATTCTCCTGTTACATTATATTTCACAAAAAAAAAAACTATCGATAAAATTGATATGGGACTAAATACGAAAGTAAACCTTGTCCATTGCAAACAGAAATAATAGAATCTAAGTTAATAAATCTTAGTTTTAACGAATATATGTTGATTTGGTTACGAAATAATACAATACCTGAATTGTCCTGGTGTCTCGGAACTAAATCAGATGGGTCTACCGGCAGAGCGTACCAGGGTCTGCGAGAATATATTTTCTTAGTATTCATCGGCCGCTCGCCATCATCAACGTTCCTATAACCCGATGGTGACAAGTTTATCATCTCTAAACATCGGTCGATACCTGTAAAGATAGTTCTAAATGATGTTACACGAAACAAAAAGGTAAAAGAAGCCTATACATAAATGTAGGTAGACAAGGACAATTCAGTTAGCTAACTTCTACAAGGATCGCTTTCAAACGACTTAGTTTTTTTTTTAATGTATGTATTGTAAAAGAGATAGTTTCGCTAATTTTAAACTGATTTCGATAGCTATTGTAAAAGGTCAATGTTGTCTTTTTGATCTCTGTATTAATTTCTTGCCCAACGTTTTCATTTTAAAAATAATAATTATAGTAATTGGATCATTTTAATATTTAAAACATTTAACCGAATAGGTTCATAACATATTCTAGTTTATGTTAAGACATAATTTCAATTCGTAGATTTTATTTTTTCTCATTAAATGCATTTAAAATATTAAATTACTTTTATACTACTATTACTAAGTATTTGATTTTGAACATATACCTTTTAGATTTATTATAACACACTAATCCTTATTAATATCCCGATGAAGAAAGATTGTTTTTCTTTGTTTCTTACTTTCTGATGTCTCAACAACTCCATCCATCAAAAAAATGTGGCTACAGTTGTATCAACCGGCTTAATAATAACAAGAAAAGACAAAGTTCAAGAATTAACCTTCAAGGTAAGACAGGAGACAAAGAAAAATAGTATATTACTGAGTAGGATTAAGGCTTAGATTTATAGTACTCCCTAGACGTCTAGTCTCTAGGAACGTACAATAAATTGGCCTTAGTACTCCCATAGGATAAAGAGCTATTAATGATTCAGTTTCCGTAATTCTTTTAAGGATATCTGCTAGCTAACTACTAATTTGGTGCAGGTCATTTACTTAAATAACAGGAGATGCTATTTCTGTTAGTCTTAGGAAATCTGATACGAAGTTAGTATATATAAACATAAGTGTAAATAAAATTACGTATTAATTTATTATTGATTTAATAATAATATGATTTATTTATTTCTCCTCACAAACATGATGACAACAATACATGTAGTATTCTTTATAGTAAAATACTTAAATTTATTACTGATACAATCACTGTTATTTACTTGAATAATAATAATACATATAAATGGTATCTTCATATAGAGGCCATAAATAAAGTAATTGTCGACCGAGTAGTACCGGAAGTATAGAAGCAGAGTATTGACAAAATAATGTTCGAATGTGGAGAAGGCAGTATTTTTTGTTAACAAGCCATTATTTATATATTAATTGAAAATTTTAATTAAATTAACTCCTTATATTCCTAATGTTACGTGTATGTATTCAATATTTATTGAAAACTCTTCATTAGTGCGAGTTTTACTTTATATAAATGAAGTATATTTACAAAAGCTAGGCTTTATACAATATCGTCTGCGTCTGATTGAGTGAAACAGAGATACCCTCTGTCTCCCTATTTCAGTGTTACGTCTGGTGAGATACAGCAGTAAAACTGTTAAATTAGTAGGCATAACATCTTAGTCCTCCTTAGTGGTATCATGGTAGCATGATTAGTGCTGCCGGCGCCACATGATATGTGAAGTGATGTCTGTGGTAGTCATCATATATATATATACAAGTATATATGTAGCCAACGGTTTTACTTACCACCAGGAGCACCTTATTTGTCATTCCAATAACACAAATATCTTGGCGTTTTATTTCGAGAATACATTTACTGTGTGAAGAGGTTCGCAGAAAATAAAAATGAACGTAAACATTTTATAGGCCTTTACCTTACCTTTATGGAAACAATACAAAAAGTCTCAAAAATAGTATTTTTTATTACTTTATCTTTTTAAACGGAAATATAATTAATATCATATTATAAACGAGGTCATAGGCTTCATAAAAGCGTATTACGTGGGTACTTAGTTGTCTACAGAGATTATATATAAAATAAGAAGAAGCATTTTCATTTACACTAATTGAAAGTTACAGAGCTTCTGGTTCTTACTGTATTTAGCTTCGTTTTTTTATACCACTAGTATGTCTTGTAAAGACAACAATCTCAGGATTTACCAAAACTAGAGTTTTAAATAGTACAGAAGTTTTAATATCGTACACTTTAAAACCAAATTAAGCGAAAAAGACATTTCAAATTTTTACTTTGCGATTATTTTAGTCGCATATCGCATATATCAAATGAACCGAAGGATTATCCTTCGGTTCATTTGATATATAAAAAAATAGGTAATTTTATATGTATGTATCCTGTAAATATAATCTTGTAAATAATTAATTTTTTAATTATTTTTTTTTATTTATTATATAATGTTTTTTAAGTTTGGTAGCCAAAATGAATTTCGTAATTTAGGCGAAAATTTTCAATTCTTTCATCATACAACCGGGACAAATTAATTGATTTCTGAATCATTAATGTATAATCTTAGACTTTCAAATTGCCAAAGGAAAAACGCTATTTCAACTTATTTAATATGCATAGAGACTACGTGCCTATACTATGCAATAAGCTCGACGAAGTGACGAATTCAAATAATATGAGATAATATTTTCTTTAAATATGTTATAATAAAAATAGCTTAGATATCAAATATACATTAAAAATATATATATGTAGTTGAAATAATTAGCTAACAACAATACTTAATAATAATGTAATTATATTATAAATGTAAATAATTCGTATAGTTAAAATTATAGTACATTTTTCCGTAAGCAACGAGAAAAGTTGTTACATTAAGTTAAAATACCATATAAAGTACCGCGCAAGAATTTGAAGAAGAAAATATATACATTGTGTATAATTTGTGTCTACGTTATGTAGAACGATATAATCTACCACAATATTACAATATAATATTGATATTACTATCCAATTACTGGAGTTACCGATGTTTAAACTTCGTTATAATCCTTGAATATAAGGTAATTCTGTTACCTCGAAAGTTTGCTGGGTGTTATAATAATACAAACTTTGGGGCGATAACGTTGATTATAACAGACTAATGCTCAATTGTATAATTAACGAACTATATTTCTATTAAACGATAAAAAAGTATAGATCTTAAAGATGATGAGTAGAAGTAGATAACATACTGCGACGATATATATATATATATTTATAGTGCTTCTGGACGTGGACACAGGTATATGAATTAAATTTATCTACGTATATGTATATTATAAGTTACTAACATAGTTTTATAAGTTTTTTACTAACACTATATGGATGTAATTCCGAATTAAAAAATAAATAAATAAATAAATAAATATAATATAATAAGGGTATAGCAATCACACATATATATAAATATATCATTATTAAGGTACCTGGATTTTGTAGTACTCTAAAAAATACCTTAAAAATACTCAGTAATAAGTTTTTTTCATTTAAAGTAACTAATGTAGACATATAAAAAAAATACTTATAAGGTTAATAATTGGGAGGTTGAACTAGTTGGCGGAGTACTATCTATGATGCTATAGATGTATATATACATTGCAGATAACTATTTTTATTCCCATTTTGTATAAGTTATTCTGAGCTACGTGTCTCCTGAGATCCGACCAATGTGACCGCAAGGAGGTCGGTCGACGCGACCCTTGTTACGTAATCAGCACTAAAAAATACCTAGTAGGAACTTGTCCTATAAGCTAAAATTGTTTTAGATTATTATTCCGATTATATTTCTCACTACGGACATCAGTCCTTAGTGCCATTCTTGCAAGTATAGTAGGTATAGTCGACTATTGACACCACCCAGTGACATTTACCATCAGGTCTGGCTTGTTTGCTATCCTACTTACCTAAAATTAAAAACATACAATTAATTATATAATTTTTTTAAAACAATGCCTTATCATAATGTATGTAGGCACACTCCTTAAATTGAATGAATGAATGAATATTGGCATATATTGGCAAATATATGCCAATATTCATTCATTTACATGAAAATAAACAATATATTTTTTTCTTGTGCCTGATCTTAAAGTATTGTATATATTACAATAACCAATTTAAGGAGTGTGCCTACATACATTATGTTAATAAAAAGAAATATATTTGGATAATGTACATAACCACTCGTATGTAGTAAAATGTTTTATTCATGGCATAATCTGACTAAAGACTCTTAGCGTCCAATCCCAAATGACTTCATTCCTCTGATATTAATTGTGTTGTTTAGAAATATATAAGTACGAAAATATTGCGGAATTATTAAGGCATAAAAAGAGGAGTTTTAAGCGGTTGCAAAATACATTATTTATATTTAAAATATGAATTTAGAAGAAATTTATAAATGTTTGTTTGTAATACTTTCATGCTCAGTAATAAACTTTTTATATAAAAGGATATTACATATTAAAAATATTGATTGAATTAACTCATGATAACGTTGTCTCGCTGCTTTCATTCTCTTTTCTAATTGAACATTTATAAGTTTAAAATTAAATACATTTGCGAAGTCTTCGGATGATAACATATTTATTTCAAGCGGTATTTTCCTAATATTTTGAAGACAAAACACCGTCACGGAAAATGTAAAATATGAATTACAGATTTTCTTTGTATTCCTATGTAAGTAGGTAAATGTAATCTCCCTTCTTCAATGGTATACCACGATTCGTCGAGCTTTATAAAAAAGCATTTACCTATAAATACAAAAGCTATAACGAGTATATAAAAATACGTATACCTACCTATATAATATTTTAAAAGACGTCATACGATGAAAGGCTTTTACGTGAATGAAATATTTTCTTTATTCTCTACCTTTTACTTTCATATCTAAGATTATTCATATTGAACAACCAATTACGGGATACTAATGATGCAAAAAATTACTAGGTAATGATGCCGGCAGTTAGATATAGCGAGATTCAAAACAGATTGGAACATACATTATTTTATAATCTTTAATAGAGACACTTCCGATCGATTCCCCGTTTAATTCAAATGGGGATCGAAATTACAACGGTCTCAGTCAAGGTTCAAATCCCTAACGATGCCCTCAGACTAAAGTCGTATCCGTCAGGCTG